AAGAAAGTAAAGAGCTGCAGGCGGATGGAAGGCGAGGATGGGGAACTCAACAGCCAGGCACTTGAAAAGTTGCCCCCATCCGCTTTCTATCTCTGCCCCATCTTCGGGGCGCCACAGGTAGAGGAGAGCAGCATTCACATAGATACAAAGATACAAATGTGTATGCGAAAATATATAAAAAACTGCACTATATAGAGCTGCCGCTGCGCGCTGTTTGCTGAACTCAACTTGCAACTTTGTTGCCCTGGCATTTCGTACTTTTCTGCTATTTTTATACCCGGTACTTGAACAGGACAAGGGTATGTTGGGTATATACAAGGGATAAGAAAGTAAATTCTTTTCTACTTCTGAGGTTCAATAATTATTAAAGACTATATAATCTGGATTTGTCAAGCAAACACTTCTTCTTCAATATTAAAATAAATTAAAAAATATTTTGATAGATGTAATATAATCCAATTTATCAGAAAAAGTACCGAGTATTTTATAGTCGTGAACAATATTATTTTTGTTTACATTTTTTTTATACAGTTTTTCTTTTTGCCGAGTTTTCTGTCGAATTTGTTTCTGCTGCCTCTGTTGCAGTTGGATTTTCAGTATTTTGGCGTAGTTGCTTCATGCCCCGATGCATTCGAACACTTACGATGTCGCCTGGCCTGCATCTGAATCCAAAAATAAAAAGCAATAGCTGACATCCAGCATGGCAGGGAGTCCGAGGGGGTTTGACGGGGTTTTTGCTCAGCATCTGCTGAATTTCTTTGAAAACTCACAGAATGTTTTGATACCTCAAGTAGTTACAACATTTCGTGGTTTATTTTGGATTGAAAAAGCTCCTGTGGTGATATTCCTCTCTTATTGTAGTTTAATTTCTGAACTGAAAATCCTTGTTTGTTAAGAGGTATACCTCAAGCGAAACTTTCAAAGAACTTGCAGTCGCATTTGCCAAAATGCCAAAGAAACGTTTAATGTAGCGAACAAATTACAAAATGCAATCCTGCCAAAACTAGATGGAGAATAGAAGGAGATGCTGGGAAAGACTAAGACAAAGGACCACACATGCGGCTGACAATAATGTTGACGACGTTTTCTGCTGTCGCACACAACAATGGAAAGAGGAGCACCCAGCAAACTGGAACGACAATCGCCAACGGGCCCAACACACACATGGCTGCATCCCCGCCCTCAGCGCTTTCCACCAACCAGTTAAAAGGAGCAACACCTACCACAAAAGGCCGCCCTCAAACAAAAAAAATTTATAAAGAAAATGTTGGGAAAGACAGGACAAAAACAAAAACCGGACGTGCCACGGTCACCATTTGTTGCGGCATTTTGACAATTTTGGCATTTAATGTGGCGCAAGCAGTAGCTCGTAGGGATGTGGATGTGGATGTGGATGGCACGAAGATGATTGCAGAGCGCCATGACTCGCGCATGTGGTGACTGTGGCTGTAGCAGACGGAGCGTATACTTAATACACAACCCTAAGACACAATGAGAAATGATCTCTTTGTACAAACGAACCAGAAGAAAACGTGGGAGCTTTTAGCTAAATTTTTACATTCATTCAAGTTTCTGAACCTAACCTTTCTAACCTCTATCGCTGCACCCGTTGAACAATATTTAAAATGACATCAATTAGTAAACCAAGGATTTGTCCCATAAAGGATGATGATGTATCATATATATTAACCAACAACGAAAACGAAAGATTATGCGTAATACAAATTATTCTATTAAAAATGGTTTTTAAATATTACATAATTCATTTATTTATCTATTTCTAAATTATTTCATTCTTTTAATGTTAACAATTCTGATTTTAAGAATGAAGCAAGGCATTATAAAACACAGAATTCCTGCTAATCTTGACAAATTCTCAACTCAGCACAGAGAATTCATTTTCACTTTGGTCTATTCCCTTTTTGCATTTTCTATTGCCGCCCAAACTCACTCGACTTAAGTGCATTCTGTGTTGTTCTGTACACTAAGCCGCTAGTAACAAAACAAATTGTACTTACCCAGTTGTTTGCTGCCCTGCACCTCACACCCACAAATGGCCCAGATTGCGTATACGCAACGTTGCACATTTCAGTGCGGAGCCAAGATTGAATCTAAGGATGCCTTCCTTGCCAGCTATCTACTGGCAGGGCACACAAAACTGTATTGATTTGTTGCTAATAGTTGATCTTGTTCACCATTCTTATTCTTATCCATTTCTATGATTTTTTTTCGGGCGGGATTTGATTTGATTTTCAAGTACACACTCGCACAGAGTTACCGACATACAAAAGCCACTCGTCTGCGGAATGGAAGAGGAAAATGTATTTGTGGTCCCTAAACTGCAAGGGAAGCACAATTTGGCTGATGCCGATGTTTATGCTGCTGCTGTTCGCTTATTTATCCAGCGAGCTTAGCTGTTGTCAGGGTTTTGTGTGTATTTTGATTTAATTTGCAATGCGCTACTCAAAATGCATTTCCTTTTGGCATGCAATTTGCCAAATGTCAAATGGGTTTGGGCCAATCTAAGCTGCCAACACAATGGCCATGGCTGACATTTGACAGAGGACTCTGAGTTCTGTTTCTGCCACTCCCAAAAACATAAATTTTCCCACTGGTCGTGTGTGGGTATGATGATAATTTGGTGTTGACATTTATGCGATACGACCCTTTAAAAGCTGGCGAGTTCAGCTCTGATTGATGGGACTTCTTAGCACGTCCTCTCATTACCATTTGCAAAACAAGTCCTGTCTCGGGGGCAAAAAGTCAAAAGTCAAGCGCCCTTTTGTTCCCCACTGACGGTTAACCAACAGCCAGATTGCTGTTCCAATGAAAGCCAAATGGACAGATGCACATGCATAGATAAGCCCGCATTTCGGCAGTGGGGGCGAGTGTTTGGTGGGAGATAATCGGATTTAATTTGATCGCTTTGCCATTAGTTAAGGGAGAATTAGTTCCCAAATTAGCTGTGTGGGGTGTGATAGTCATATTTTATTTGAAAATCAAGTAAGCTATATTGGCTTTCCTTTAAAATAGAATAATTTCAAAATGGGAGTTTAGCTTTAAAGAAGTAAAAATAATTAAAGAGATTTTCTTCCTGTTTACTTGATATAGATAAAGTGTAGGCTTAAAACTGAGTTACAAATTCAAAATTTCCAAAAAGTTCTAGTTCGCCAGAGAACTACATTGGTCATCACTACCTAAGGCCCAACAGAGTGTGCTTTGGCAGACAAAAAGGTGCATCAAGCTGCCAAAGCGAACCACAGTGCGTATACGTAATACGTGTGTGACTGTGCAGGAGAACCCCCTTTCACAATCCTCGCTTGCCGTGCGTGTAATTGAGCGTGTAATTGTGTTTGCCTTTTCACATTTAGCCAGGCCCGAAAAGGTCACTTTTGATGTGTGTCCTGTGGCGATGCTGCCACTGCATGAGCAGACCCCGACCGGGTTCACCCAATTAAAATGTCGCTCAAAACTTTTTCCCCCAAATGTCCCTGGAAGGGAGCGAAAAAACTGTTAATTGAGTTTCGGCCGCCAACGCGAAATGAATTATGAGCAACTTATAATGAAGACGGCTCAACTTGAGCGCAGCAAGAAGTTTGACAAGTCGACAATGTGCCAAAGTCCATAATGACTGGCTGTGTCCTTGTGCGTTCAAGGCCACCACTTTGGCGCAGCCATTTCAGTTTAAGTGATTGACTTGGCCCAGCACGGCCCTTATTTATTTTTGAGTGTGTCGCAGGTCGTCTGGCCCACTCTCGGCTGCCCAGATGTCGAGGCTCGATAAGCTCCAACGTGGGCCGCCACACACCTGTCAGGACATGTCAGGACATGTCAGGATATGTTGCATGCGTGACAGTTCAAGGCGCGGCTTAGGGCGATGTATTGGTTCCTCTCATCGAATATTCATGGCGGGCCCTTTTTTTAATGGATGAAAAACAGTTTAATTCCCATAAGTTATTTACTTCCATGTTTAAGCCCCTTTGAAAACATTTCGGATCGAAGATTTATTTTTAAATTGGTATTTTCTTGGGAATCTTATAAAGCAATGTTGTTAAATTTAACTAACAAAAGTGGCATGTATATCTACTTATTCATTTAGCAAGAAAATAATCTTATAGTTTTCCAAAACTTTAAATGCCCGAAATTATACCACTAAGATCAGTAAAGTTTGTGTGACTCCCATATTATTTTGAGTTTCTTGACTCATAAAGATTGCCTTAATGAACGTGCAAACACTTAAAAGTTACCGCTCAAAGTTGTCAGTATGGAACAAAAAAATATATAAACACCTCTTATCGACGGCTACAAATTAAGAAACAACGAACATGAGCGTGCCATTAACTTTATGACATTTGTGCATACACAAGTTCCCAAAATCTATGGTATTAAATAATGTTATCGTGAAAGTGATGTGTCTTGGAAACTAAGAAGAATGTCGAATTAGTTGTATTTAAATGATTCATGTTGTGGGACTCACGCTTTGAATAGGTGTCATAAATTTATGATTGGATATTAAAGAATAGTGATGGAAAACATACTATATGTATTAAATAAAGATATAAAAACAAAATTTGTTTTTTTCTTAATCAGTTGAAAAGTAGTGGTAAATGTTGTTTTATGAAATACACACATTATTTGTTATCTTTAAAGAAATTAAGTTGTTTGGACATACAATACCTTAATAATAATAACTAGGAAGCTGTCCGTGTTTATGGACCCTGCCTCTCTCCTGCTCTCTTGAACTTTGCGACCTTTGCTATCATTAAAATAGCATTGAGGGTGAAAATAGTCAAGTTATTGGCACTTGCCATCTCTAGTTTGATAACGGCGCCTCACATGGCTGCCATGTCAACGGGGCTCTCAACTGCGATAGGGGCCGTGATAAGAAACCACAGAAATGCGGTGAAAAAAAAAACTGTCTGCAAGCCGAGCCAATTGGCCTGATAACGAAGCTGGCTGGCAGGGATCCCAATCAGCTGTAGTTTAGTCATTGCCGGAGCTTCACCGTGTTCACATATCCGCATCGCACTTCTCGTTCCTCGATCGTCGCGAAACCAGCCCCAAATAATCATAAATAATAATAAATGCCAAGAAACGGCCAAGTGAAGTGTCCGCGAAATGTTGAGTTATTTGCCAGTGGTTTGGCTCTTTTGGGCCCTTTCGGTGCCTGTGCCCCGAGTAATGGGCCAAATCATACCGTTGCCGACTTTTTGCGAGGGCCATAGCCTAGAGTGCACCTGTGCCGCCGAGGCGAACGTGGTGCGGTTCCACTGCCCCGATGAGTACGCCATGTTGCTGGAAGTCTCCGAACCGGGTGCTTCACTGTATTTAAGCTACTACGCCTCCGGCGAACTGAAATGGCTGCCGCGTTTCAACATCAGTGAGGTGGTGAAGATCGAGTTCGATGCCTATAGTTTTTGGCCGGAGACATTCCTGGCCGATCTGCTGGAAACGTTAGGGGTGAAAAAAGTTAAAACGGTCCTGTTCAGAGATCGCACTTCGGAAACGGTGGTCACTCGAGATGTCCTCAACGCAACCGATGGATATCAGGGATCATCTCCGGCCGGAAACATATCAACCTGGCATTTTGGAGCCTTTCCTGGCCTGCAGAAGTTTAAGTTCTACAGCGCTGTGGAAGATCTGCAGGAGACGGCATTTCACAAATTCGACTGCCTCAAGGAACTACTGCTCCACGTGGAAGTGAAGGAGCTGCCTGGTAATCTACTATCTACGGTAAAAGGAACTTTGGAAGCTCTGATCATCGAGAGTCCGGTCATGATCTCGTTCAAAGATCCCCTGCTCCGCGAACTGCAACAGTTGCGGAACTTGAGTATCTTGCTTACGGATCCGCAACGTGGACGTGACCAGCTGCAGCCGCATTTCTTTGGGGCCATGAAGAACCTGGAGGAGGTGCGATTGGCCCAGGCCACTGGTCGTGTGGACCGGAAAATGTTCAAGGGCACCGAGAAGTTGAGGCTCATCAAGATGAATGGCAACGACGATCTCACGCAGCTACCTGGGGAAATATTTGAGGATCAGGTCAGCTTGGTGACCCTGGATTTGTCCTGCAATGCGATCAGCAAGCTGCACAATGACGTCTTCAAAGGCCTGGCCAATCTTACCATTTTGGATCTGGCTAAAAATAAACTGACTGATTTATCAAGGTGGGTGAAAAGGGGGTTCCGTTGTTTTCGCCACTTGTTGGCACTGATTAAAAGATGGCCCACCTAGCGATAGGGCCTGCTGACTCAAGAATTTCTAGCACAATTAATTAATCGATTTCCAATGAACGGAGTCTTCTCCATCTTATCGCTGTGGTTGCGGCTGCTGCTTTTCCTTATCAACTTCGGCACGGGTGATGGCTCAAAGACCATTCTGTGTCTCCCTCGACAGCCGAGTGGGGTTATCGGCGTGCTATCACCCAGATAATAATTGCACAATTATTACTGTTAACATTATGGCGCCAAAAAGTATGCCAAACATTATTAATTGGTTGATCCTTATCTGATATAGTGATTTTGGCCATTTTCATAAACAAATCAGACAGTTGTTTTCGTTCTGTGGTAACCAATCAAAGTTGCTATTGTCGCGAAGTTTCTAGTTCATATCTTTCTAAGACACCATCAAATAATTAAAGCCCCACACAGCATTTTTTTGTAAATCATTCCTTGTCTTTTTGCTATCTCGTCGTCGTCTGATAAGATGTGGTCAACTAAAAAAATTAATTTGATTTTTTTATGTAGTTCTCCGAAGACAGTAAATTTAAAGTCTAACTAATTCTTATCGAAATGAAAAAAATTTAATTTAAATCGTTATTGTATTTACTACATTTTTGGTTTCCAAAAACAATAATTTTTGTGTTTATTCCATACTGACCTCCATTCCTATTTTTTATTTTACAAAACAATTTTTAAAATCTATTTTAAAAACATATACATATAATAGATCTAGCTTCAATTAAATTGAAAGTATACACTTTTTACCCTGTAAATTTAAAATATATTTGTTTAGAAAACTTTGTAATATAAATAATATTAAAGGATTACCACATTACATTATAATAGGATTATACAAATTGTGGTTTTTTTCAGTAGACTTCTAATTTTTGGATATAACCTGTTTAATAATGTTTGTTAAAATTGTATTAGAAATAATTAGAAAGGCTGTAAGATCATTAGAAACTTAACTATACCCCAATTGTAAAAATATTTCCGAAAAACCACTGTAAATGTACAGCATTAGAAACTAGTTTGGCTGTGATTGACCTCGATAGCCCCACATATAATAGTAATCTAATCCTTCTTACACCTCCATAGCCCTGTTGATAATGCCCATCTAATCCCTCTGAGATCTCCTCCATCCTGCAGCACCATTTTCGCCCCGCTGACCTCGTTGACCGTGTTGCGTCTGAACAAGAACTCCCTGACCGCGATGTCACCCACTGTTTTCCAGGAGGCTGTCACTCTGAACTACATTGAGATGGTGAGCACCCAGTTCTACGGGGCCACGCTTCAGATGAGCTACGAGGCGGTGGTGTGCACGAACGAGGAGACCTGTCAGTACAAGTCGGCGGATTGGCAGTGTGATTTTCGCTGTATTTGCTGGGTGCAGAGGAATATTAATGCTCTGATCGTGGATTGTCGGGGATCGAATCTGGAAGAACTCCCGGATTTGCCGCACACCACTTTGGTAAGCACGGTCCTCAAGGTGGGAAACAATAGCCTGACGCGCCTACCCACCGTCGACGAGCACCGTGGCTATGCCAATGTGAGCGGTCTCTTTCTTTCGGACAACAACCTGACCAGTCTGGGATCGGGTGACCAGTTGCCCACCAATCTGACCCACTTGGATGTGCGCGGCAATCAGATACAGTCGATCAGTGAGGAGTTTGTGGATTTTTTGCAGCAGGCGAATAACACCATGACTCTAGCGCTTTCGGGAAATCCCATATCCTGTGACTGTGCCGCCCTGTCGCTCCTGTTTTTCGTTCGCACCAATCCGCAGCGGGTGCAGGATATTGGGAATGTGATGTGTGCCAAACAGAAAAAGTCCCTCCAGCAGATGGAGGCCTTCGAGCTGTGCCCCTCGTATGTGCTGCTCATCAGCTGCGTGGTCGGTGGCCTGGTGATCATCGTCTGCCTGATCTCCGTGTTCTACCTGATGTTCCAGCAGGAGCTGAAGATCTGGCTGTACAACCACAACCTCTGCCTGTGGTGGGTGTCCGAGGAGGAGTTGGACAAGAATAAGACCTACGACGCCTTCATATCGTACTCGCACAAGGACGAGGAGCTGATCAGTAAGATGCTGCCCAAGCTGGAGAGTGGTCCGCATCCCTTCCGACTATGTCTGCACGATCGCGATTGGTTGGTTGGCGACTGTATTCCAGAGCAGATCGTCCGCACCGTGGACGACTCGAAGAGGGTGATCATTGTGCTGTCGCAGCACTTCATCGACTCGGTGTGGGCCCGCATGGAATTCCGGATCGCCTACCAGGCCACTTTGCAGGACAGGTGCAAGCGGATCATCATCATTCTGTACCGGGAACTGGAGCACATGAACGGCATCGATAGTGAATTGCGGGCATACCTCAAGCTGAACACCTACCTCAAGTGGGGCGATCCACTCTTCTGGAGCAAGCTGTACTACGCGATGCCACACAATCGGAGGGTCCTCAAAGGACAAAAGAAACATGCTGGCCCCCTCATCTGAGTCTTAGTTTTTAGGTTATCAGAAATATACTCATATGCTTTCATTTCTCCCCTGGAGTTTCAATAATTGGGCCTTAATAAGAAACCATTAAATGAGTTAAAACTTACCTTTCAGAATTACACAAATACCTAACTAAGAATTATATATATTTGAAAAGATTTTGAAGTATTTATAAAGATAATATCATATTTAACGTATTTTTAAACAGTTAATTTATAATAATAGTACTTAAAATGTATAATTATTAATAAAACCTTTTTTTATGGGTATTCGGATGCTTTAAGCTGTTAATTCGAATTTTGCAGTGCTGTTATTTTCAGAAAATACATTTATAAGTAATATTTACAAAAAAATAAACCAAATTATGTATAAGTAAAAAAATAAGTTAACCTTTTAATGTATACAGTGTTCGACTTTATAAATTAATCTAAATGACAAATTAGGTGTACAATTTTGTTTCTTTTTTTGCCGCATTCGCATCTGTATTTATCATGGCTTTTATTTTAACAGCTATGAAGTAATTAATAATTTACACAACCGTTGGCAACAATATTTGCAACACTATATTATTAAAAGCATATAATTGCCTCAAGCGCATTAATTATCTTAATTGAATTGATAAAAGCAATATAGTATATACAATAAATTTCTGTTATATGGAAAGTTAATAATAAGTATGAACATAGGTCTTAATTAATAGAAGAAAATCAGCATAATTTGAATTAAATTGTATAAATCTTACAGTTGCCTGAGATAATAATAAACAATTTATGAGACTACAAAAAGAACTGTGAAGAATATCAAATTAATCACTTTTAAAATGCTTTTCATTTCGTTTAATTTTTAATATACCAGAGGGACTTACAAAGTGGACATTGTTTGAGCCCTGGCCCAAATATCCCAGCTGGCTTAGGCTTTTGACGAGCTGGTCCTTGGTCCTTGGGTGTCCTGCCTTTTGTTTTCCTTTACGTTTTGTGCCTGGATTCTATAATTTTTCGTATGAAATTTTAATTAAATTTTAAATTTCAAAACATTTCTCTGTAATACAATTTCCTGCAAAATTCCATTTAAACATAATTGTTATTAAACAGGGGATGTGTGCATAATTGAAAATTAATTGCTGCTGTTTCGCATGACTACAAATTAATTTTCCCAACGCTGAAAGTTGTTATTCTGCATTAATGTTCCAAAATTCATTGGGCAAACATCACCACCTAATAAGTAATAACATATAAGCAAGGAACAAATTATTTGCAATTTAAATGTATACAGGGCGCTTTCCGTCCAATAAACTTACTTAAATATTTATTCAGTCACATGCTTTATCCATCCCTCAAAGCCTTTCCATAGCCCGCTTCAAAACTCTAATTATCCACATCAGTAATTGCGCTGGCCTTCATTGTTCAGTTGAGTCGAGGACTGGAAGCCCAGGCCCCAGTATCCTAGGCCCAAAGTGGCGGGCCAAGCCAATTTTCAGCCAGAAATAAGTGAAAATATATGTAATAATAAAAAGGGCAGAGAAAAGCATTTGGCCAAGTGGCGCTCTTTTCGCTGTCAGCCCTTTTTTCGCCACACGATTGCGTGGCCTTTGTCCACCCACCGCCCCCCAAATGCCACCCACAATGTGCGAGGGGTGGGTTAGTTTGGCCTGGGGTCTTCTGCGGAGCGTCTTTGAAGATTCATTGCCTGCCCGCTGGCCAACACTTTGTGGGCGAAGCGCCTAAAAGAAAGAGGGTCATGGGGCAAAGGGCGGAGGAGGAAGGTCAGTTTAGAGCACTTTTTTAAACAGTTAGAACGCTAAACGAAAAATAACACAACTACATGTTTCACATCCTTTTTATTTACAACCTTGGCTTGAAAACTAGTGACCCTTTCAACATATTTAAAGCACCTAGAAAGACAATTTGAAACTAAAGGGACATAACTTAAAATATAATTGAATTAAAATGTAAAGCACCTAGGAACACAATTTGAAACTAAGTGGACGTAACTTAAAATTTAATTGAATAAAAATAACTATATAACTGTTTTGGAACAGTTTTCGCAAAAAGCAATATATGTTTGTTATAACTGCAATATATAATAAACTTCATATAATAAAAGTTTACTTTCCTTTTTTCTATATTTTTACGAGTAAATTTAAAATATTTAAAAAAAATATAACTTTTTATGGGTTAAAAAGACTGGTTCTTAGTAAAGCTGACTAACAAGTATAAATTAAATGATGTTAATTTAATTTTGAAATATTAACAAAATGTTTTCAGGAACGATATTCAACACAAGCCAATTCCATTCAATATCTGTGAGATTGTAGAAATAACTTTATTGCAGCCAACTGAATGGTAGAAATTCAATCTCTTAGCCATTTCACAATGTAATTCGTTTTGTCTGCGGTATCCAGTTCTATTGCAATTGTAACCATTTTCCGGTTCCTCACTCCCAGCCAGTGTTGAATTCTATTTCGCTCTGCTTTTGTGCCCTTTATAAGTTTGTAAGTAATGACATTTGATTGCTGCCCCAAACACTTCGCAGCTGCCATCGAATAATCATCTGGGCTCATTTTTCATAAACTTATAGTCAGGGCTGAAGTCCGAATATGCCAGGATGGGTGTGAGTAGTTATCACAAACATCTGTTTGCTACTGCTTTTCATTTATCATAACTTTTGCGAAAGTAAAGTAGAATAAAACCGGCTTGTAGCCGTTGAAAGTTCCTCATGCTGCCCGTTCCCAGGACTTTCAGCTACGTGACCCAAAGACCAATAGTTTCCTTATATCCTTTAGCCGAAATTCAAACGAGGATTCCCTGGCGTTGAACTACTTAGTAGCCATAAAGTAAGGATGTGTGGCTCACAAGGGGTTAAGACGATATCTGTGTGTGTGTGTCTATGCGTGTGTGTGTGTTAACGGGTGTGGATGCCATCAATGGATTTTTGGCCTGGCGCCACCAGCAATTCAAATCGAAAGCGGATGCAAAATGCAAAATTGTTGCTGGCTCTGAGTCAGCTTTCGCTGGCTCCATTGACGATGTCTCCAGCCATTTGAGCACACAAATCATTGCAAGTGCATACTGCGAATATATTCCGTATAGTGTTTGCTGATACTTGGCCGTATTCATACACATAATATATGGGTTTTATTGCATTGCTTTTTATTGCTTTTCATTGCCGGCTCTTTCGCCACTCTTAATATACATTGTAGAGCTTGAAGTATATTACTTTTAGCAGACAAAATTATAACAATTAATAAATTCACATTTGTAAATCTAGTGTGTGCAATCATGTTTTAATTTTAAACCTATTTTATTATGAAGTATTTATTACAATGGCATTTTTAAATTCGGTTTTTGGTAAGCATTTTACAGTGCTTTGTTGAATTTTTGTACTTAATTCCCTTTGGTTCATCCGCTTTTTATCTCGCATATATCCCGATTTAAAGCCCTTTCTTGCTTATATATTAAATGTGCCACAAAGCAATCACAAAATATATACTTTAAAATGAATTGTTCAAAGGACTGCTATATTGATACAAATGAGAAAAAATATGTAGTTAATAACTGAAAATGTAGGTACTTAACTAGCTGGGTTTTTCTTGATGTATTACAAAATTAAATCCCTTGTGTTCTTTTGATGAACGAACGTTTCTTTGCACTGTTGTAAATGCAATAAAAATCGGCACTTTCAGATGTGGTGTGTGGCAGCAACCTCGTTGCGGTTGTGTCCTGCAATTAGTGGAAGTTTTATTGCATACTTTCGTGCCATGTGGCCGGGCAGAAAATGCATTTCGATGTCCGACACAAAGAGGTCATTAACAAGTGCTGAGTTGGTCGGGGTGCGGTTTCCTTTTCTTCGGTTTTCTCTGTCCTCCAGGCGTCGACTGATGGACATGTATGGGCAGGAAATCACACATTTGCCATGGAATATAGATGACCTGCAATACAAGCGGTGGGGATAAGTTTAAGCCAATTTATGATCGTGTTAGACTTGATATTAAATTGAAAAATGTAATACTAAATCGTTTAAGTACTTAATCTTTTATCCAGGAAAAAAACTTAAAGGTTACATATTTTCATAATCTATTGCAGGTTATAACCTGTTAATATTTGTACTTTTGAATAAAGAATATTAAAACTTCTGATCTGGTAATTTTTCTTGGAAATAAATAACCCATTTCTAACACTTAGTTTTAATCTTAAGTTACGAAAGATATTTCTATTTAATAAAGTTCTGATGAATATGGATCATGAGGCGTATACGTAATATTTCTCTTGTTGCACTTCAAATGGTACTTTACTCTCATTTACATACAAAAATGTTCTTTAATTGGGTAATTTCATTTAATTGAATAGTCTTTTCTTGGTTTGTTGTCAAATTGATGAAATATTTCAAAGTCCTCTTGTTTGCTTTCTTCGTGGCAGACTTGGTATTGGATTTTTCCTCATTGCCTGGAAACCAGGCAACACTTATCTTTGATTGCGTGCAATTTACGCTGGGCCAATTGTTCATATTTTGGTTTCGGGCGCGTGGCTTGGTTTCTGTCCTTCCCCAGTGGGTTGGTTTGCCAGAGGCGCGGTTGATAAATGACCACCTCGAAGGGGGCCTGTGAAAAACTGCAACAGCAGGCGGTAAATCATGAATGCAGCCAACTGCTGATGCCTGCACTTCCTCATCTTCCGCATCATCCCGCGGACGGGATGTCAGATGGCATAAGTCCGCACATTTTTCTGCCTCCGAATAGGCTGCTAAACCGCTGGCTCCACTGCTCCAGTGGCCGAAAATCAATCGCGCTCGGCATTAATCAAAAACCCATTTATCAGCAAGTGGCCAGGCCTTTCTCCCGGAGGTTTATTAGCTGCCTTCTCGCTGGCCACGGTCGGTGATTAGTTGAGCGTTAACCCCGGGACGAATCGGTTCCGTACGTGAGCTCCGGCCAAAAAAAAAAAAAAAAAAAGTGCAGTCGAGCCGAGTGAGAGTGCAAATTGCAATGAATATTTCACGCGAAAAGGGACTTGATGGGGATAAATTTCGCTGGCTTGTTGGACGAATCGGCTGCGCGGCCTGAAGCCATTAATATCCTCTAGCAGGTGACAACTGCCGGCTGCACTATCAAATCCATTAGTGTTCCACTTTGTCCAACTCAAGTAAAGAAGGTGCCAGCCAACACAAATGATATCCAGTTATACACCCACTTCCAATTGATGTTCGGAACACAATTGGAATCCGAACATAATTAAAGGTCTAACCACCACATATATCTCATAAATAATAAATGCCCTGCATGTGAGGAACCCTCGAAGAAATGACAAAGTTGGGAGCTGCCAGTGAGCTTCAGCCAGAATTCAAAGGCAGTAGTGGGTCAAGTGGATCAGCAGCTACTTGTGCCTCGTCCTCGAGTGCAAATTGGATTACCCATCAAACGGCAAAAGAGGAACAAGAGCCAATGCCTGACAGGATGCTAACGCTCAGTGCACGGGGTCTTTTGGTATATTATTTTAGATCAAGTAGGCACACGAAAATACACAAATTCCCCTTAAAAAACCCTTAGCAGTTATGCAACAACAAAAATGCTTTAACAAAAATTATAAAGTAAACTTAATTCAAATAAGCACTTATAAAAACATACTTAAACAGTGTGCCAACAAAAATTATTGGATATTTATAAGAAGCAATCTAGCATATTCAGAATGGTCGGATTGAAGTCGAATGGAAAGAACCCATTGTATCCATATATATTGTTCATGTCATTATTTATTTAAATTTTAAGGTTTGTTAAAGTTCCTTATCTGAATCACCGATAGGTTTTCACGAACCATACAAAATCATCTTTAGCCCGTTAAACTACTATTGTGCGAATTTAATATGCATAGTTTTTCCTAAGAGTGAAGGATATAAAAGTACACATTTGTATTTATTGATAATTCAAAAGAATTATCAAAATTTATATAGTAGCATATAAGTTATAAATGATAACTTTGATTATTTATAAATACCAAATCTATGTCTAGATCAAACCCATTGCGATGAAATGGAAACAATTTACAGTTGCAATATGATAAAAAATTTTAATGAACGTCAATGTAGAATAGTAAGGTGGATGTAGATATTTCTTTGGACTATTTGCTTACGCTAAACAAAAATAGGAAAACGAGCTGCCATAAGTCGAACGAACCTTGCTCCCGGCAGTGTGTCGACTAGTCGGCGTGGAGGTGCTGCCGGCGTTTGGCACGTCCGCGCCCGAGCTTTTTGGACCTCAGCTTAGCCATATGGGACATAACCAAGTAACTGCCTGGCAGGATCAGCAGCAGGAGGTACAGTTTTAGGAAGAGAACCATGTCGAAGGTGATGTTCCAGGAGTTAGGCATTTCCACGGTAAACCGTTTCGTCTCCTCGATGTAGGGAATATTGCGTAGTACGATGATGCCCTCGCACAGGATGCCCATGGGATAGAGAGGTATCCAGATAGTGTACCTCAGCCAGGTGAGCAGGCCCACCTCGCGGCCAAGCAGTTGGGCCAAGTAGAAGGGATATCTGGTGGGGTAAAGTTCACAATAAGATAAGATATTAATTCTTTCTCCGATAAACACTCACCTAACCAATTCGACTAGAGACCAAATTATGAATACGTAGAACACCACGGGCTTTGTGTGCATACGTGGCTCCATGTCAATCATTAGGAACAGGATGAAATTGCGTCCGGACACCTGGAAGAAGGGCACGACCGCACTGCCCTTGGTGTAGCCGAATATGGGATGCATCACCTCCAGATATTGCAGAAGCTGGATGAACTTGAACGCGTTTCCCACGTTGATATAGGTCCTGGCGATGCTATCGGCACCATCACGGTAGTATAGCACACCCACTACGACCATCATATACAGATAGCCCACAAACATGGCCAGGTTGTAGAAGATCATGTACACCTTCTTCGTTTTCTCTGAAAGGCAAATGGGATGTTAGTTTGGTTTATTAAAATTTCTTATAAAAAAGTATCTCCTTAACGTTATTATTGACTTTAAAACTATAAAAACTGTGGGAAATATAAATACTAACCCTTGATGTAACCCAGCTCGCGCTTCTGGAGCTCGGCGTACTCCTTCCCGTAGTCCTGGCGCACATCGCGGGGCTTCTCCTCCAGCTCGGCGTCGTCCTCGGTGCGCCAGCGGTCGAAGTCGATCTTCAGCCAGTGGGGCTTCTGCGGAGTGGCCACCAGGCGGGGCCACCACTCCGGCTCCAGTTTCCGAATCTGCAGCTCGATCTTGTTGTCACTGACCACAAAGGTGGCCGTGTCATCGTTGATCGGGGCGTAGAAGTGCAGCTCGAATTTGTAGGCATTAACTCCGCGGGCTCCATGTCCGTTGGCACTGAAATTCACGGAAACCGGTGAAAAGTCTGCGATGGCGCCCTGGGAAAATTTTCGGTTACCATTATTGATTTTTCACAGGGGTAGTTCTACCCCATTGAAATTTATTCTTAGCATACCTTGGCATCCTTGAGGTCGACTTTCAACAGAAGCGTTTGTTTGGTCTGCGACCAGTAGACCAGCGGGCTGAGGTTTGCCATTTGACAGAATCAAAAAAATATAAACATCGCCCTCTTAAAATAAATACCCGACCTTTGGTTTGCCCCCGTTTTGCAACACTGTCGGTATGACCGTGGCACGGCCGTTAAAAATACCACCGTGCTGGTATATTTTAGATACCAAAAACACCAATTGGCCCAGTGGTGTGGAACTTCGATATCAATGGCATGAAACTTCGCTTCAATTTTGAAATGTTAAGATTTATATTTTGGCCGTTAAATCTTAACTAGATTTTTTCTGATACTCTAATCTTAATCACTTTACTTTTTTAACTAAATTTCATCAGATTTCAAATGATTAAAAACGTTTTTTTTTAGTTCTAAAAAAATAAAAAAAAAATTAAAATGCAACAGTTGGATATTGCAACAACCACTTCATAAAAAATAAAATAATAAAAGTGAATTAATAAATAAGTGAGCTGATATTGATATATCCTTTTTTTGTTGGCCTTATAACTATAATTCTAAGAGTTTTTTTTAATACCGTCGGTTCAGAAGCTCTCATATTAGGTAGACGAAATATTTAAAAAATTTCTTATGATATGCTCATAAAATTCCAAAAATTTCCATATGAATATATGGCAAAATGTGATGAACTTTTTATTGGCTATTCTTCTTTGCTGCGCGTTTTGGGTCATTTTGATTTATGGGCCGCCACCGCAAAAGTCGGAAGTTGTCAGACAACACAGGGCGAAAACAAAGCAAAATAAACGGAAAACCCTCGGCATAGTCGAGGACCGTGGGTGTGTGTTCTTGTGGGCTTGTTTTGGGGGACTGGGTATATCCCTGTTGTACGGCCAGACATGGCAGCGTTGCTGTTGTCCTTTTAACTTCCTTCCTTTTTGGTGGGGCGGCGTTGCTAAAACAAGAGGCGACAACTTGTCAGGCTTGTTTTGCCATCGGATTTTGTATTTACGAACAATAAACCCGGTAACTGGAGCAACAACAATGGAGCATACGTGAGCTAGGGTTTTAGGAATCGCAGTTGCTAATCCAGATGAGTATTTTCTGTATCTCTTTCGCAGCCATCACCAGCATTATTCCATATCATTTTGCACACAGGCATAGGCACAAGAATCGGGCGGTGCAAAATGCTGCGCTTTCTGAAGAATCGTTAGACCCGGCATCTGCCCAGGCACCATTATCGAACCGCCCATCTATCTATATGTATATGCTTAGCTGTATCTGTATCCGTATCCGTATCTGTATCTGTATCTGTATCTGTATCTTCGCGTCCAGGTAAGTCTACTTATAAGCCCTATATCTTTTGGTATTGAAACATCCTTAGTGTTGCAAAGTTCTCAGGCACCTCGAAAAACTTTTTCAATTTTGTGTCCACCAATTTTATTGATTTACCTCTAAGGGCGCTGTTGCATTATTAAGAATGCAAGTTGGTGGCCAGCGAAAACGAACAACGACCCTTGTTGATGGCACTGACCCGAAAATATCCCATGCTGTTAAATTATGCAATGCGTATGATGGGGAGGTCAACCTCTTTAATAAACAGATGTTTCGCTTGGCCAGTCCATCGTGGCGTATACGTATTCTGGCTCTTAATTGTATGCCTAATGACCGTTAATGACATAACTATATGCTTACCAAATGACATACAGAACTTGTGTATGTAATGCCCCAATATCAAGATAAATAGGAATGCGGCTGCTGACATTTCCCCCAACTGCTCTCCTCTGATTGTTTTCCATGGGCGCCCAAACAAAACGCAGCAAATGGTTAAGGTCAAGTTGGGCGTGTGTCGAGTGAATGAACAGAAGCCGAAGGACGTCAAGTTATGACTGAGTGTTTGTGGCTGGCAAAGGAGTCGGGGTCTATTCAGCGCGGCATGCGTGTTCATATGTGTTCAAATTAGGGATTCGACAAGGAGACAAGTCATAAATGAAGGCAACCACAAATACACTGCAAGCGGCGAGAGTTTTTTATTTTCTAAGCAATTTGTATTTGAAAAAATAAAGATATGTTTTTGATAAGTTTTTAAATATAAAGCTTATCTCATCAAAGTTTTTTAATCAGAAAGTACATTATCCCTGTATGTGTTCAATGATACAATTTTCAAATTACAAATTTATTTTAGTCCAAATTTAAACATTTTAAACATTTCTTACGATCCCGTTAAAAAAGCAAGTCTAAGTAATATTTTGGAACATGCAATTTTAAAGACACTTTGAAATAGATTTTGCCTACTTGTGCCGATTATAAAATATGAAAATGATCAACTACATGCCAACAAGTTTAGCAAGGTCTTGGGTAATCTGGTTCTTGGGAATCTTCCGTTTCCTCGGCTGCTCGGTGATGAGAACTTCGGTGGTGGCCAAAAGGGAAGCTATTCCGGCCGCATCCGTCATGGCGGATTGCAGCACTTTCGTGGGATCTACAATTCCGCGTGTTAAAAGATCGCCGAATTCACCAGCGGCGGCATCGTATCCATAGTTCCCACTGCCGGCGATTACTTGGCGAAGGACCTCGTCGGGATCTACTCCAGCATTCCGGGCGATTGTGTAGCAGGGTAGACGCAGTGCGTCCCTCACAATTTCCCTGCCCACTTGGTGCTCCATGACCTCCGCCGGAGGCAGCTTATCCAAAGCCGGAATACAGCGCAAATAGGCTGTCCCGCCTCCGGGAACAACTCCATCGCTGATGGCCACTCGCACGGCCTGCAAGGCGTCGTTGAAGCGATCCTTTCGCTCGCTCACCTCCAGATCACTTGTGCCGCCCACATAGATGGTGGCCAGGTGGCCCTGCATCCGGCCCAGCCGAGTCTTCAGTCGGTCCAGATCCTCATCGGTGATTGCCTCCTCGATCAGCTCACGGATATGCTGAATGCGAGCCTGCACCTGCTCCTCATTCACATTGATCGGCTGCATCAGGTGTGTTTCCTTGGCGTCTACAACCGCTGAGACCACCTCGCCTAAATCCTCCTCGTCCAGTTCCGCCAGCCAGGTTGCATCCTCCAGGAGATGGGCACCCATGGCCAGAGCAAGATCCTGCATTTCCTGACGCTGCTCCTCGCCAAAGTTTGGAGCCTTGACGGCACAGACCTGTACTCGACCTTGCAGATGATTGAGCACCAGGATCTTCAGCAAATCGCTGGAAAAATCCTGGGCTATGATGAGTAGGGGTTGTTCCCTCACCTTGGCCAGATTCAAAGCGGGAAGGATCTGTTCAACCTGATCAATTTTAGCCAGGGTGAGCAGTAGAAGGCAATTTCCCAACTCCAGGGTGTCGCCTTCACTTTTTGTGGCAAAGAAGGGTGAAAAGTAGCCAGAGGGTAGGGTAATGCCCTCTTGGATCTTCACCTCGTCAATGGGGCTGTGCGATTCCTTTAGGAGGATGACACCTCCTTCGCCTAGTTCCAGGATAGTGTCTCCAATTAGCTCTGCCAGCCGTTCTTCTCCATTTAAGGCCACTTTGGCCACGGCTTCCACTTGGCCAATGGTGTCCACAGACACAGACATTTCATCCAGGGCCTTGCACACCGCTCTCGATCCCTGGAGAATGCCCTCCCGCAGCAATTGAACATTCACCTGACCCTGGCGGAGCACATGCAGCCCTTGGCAGGCTATTCCACGGGCCAAGATTGTGGCTGTGGTGGTGCCATCGCCCACTTTGTTATTCGTATTATTGGTTGCCTGGCGCAGCAGCTGCACGCCCATATTGTGGCGCCGATCCTTCAGCTGCACATTGTTGGCCACCGTGATGCCGTCCTTGGTGATCCGTGGCGATATCAGCAGCTGCTCGATGAGCACGTTCCTGCCCTTCGGGCCCAGAGTGGTCGCCACCGCGTTGGCCAGGACGTTCACGCCCTGCAGGAGCAGGCTGCGCGCCTCGACGCCGAAGCGGACGTCCTTGGCGAAGGAGCGCACGGTGGTGCCACCACTCCGACCCAATCTTGTCAGCATTTTATTCCTTCTTTGCGTTAGTTAATTGGTTGACCGTAAATTTTGCAGGTTTTTTTTCCGAATTTTTAAATGTTGTTTATATAATTTTGTACCCTTTGAAGGAATATGCCAAATATGTGAAAGTTCTGTCATTTTTATACCCTCTCAGAGGATATTATAATAAAGGTTAGATGTTTTTAAAGCTGTGAGGGTAATGGTAAAACATTACCGGAATATATATATTACTGAATTCGTTATAAAATTTCCAATCTATTGGCATTAACAACTCAAAAATATAATTTTAGTCCAAATTTCGGAAAAAATATAAAAAAAGGTCAAAATCTGGAAAATCGAAAAAAAATAAACTTTTATTTCAAATTTGTAATCAAACCCCTGGGAAAAAATGGGTGACTGTTGGAATGTCATACCTCGTTGAATTCGTTATAAAATTTGCAATCGATTGGCATTCACAGCTGAACATTTTAATTTTAGTCGAATTTTCGCAAAAAAACATAAAAAATTCCAAAATCGGTTAAAAAATAAAATTTTCGAAATATAACTGAAATTGATAGTTTAGGTCTTTAGCTGCGCAAAACAGCCATTCTTTTGGCTGTGCGACCTTTTTTCACCATGTTTGAGCGAAAAAAATATGATAAATTTTTGTTATTTATCCCAAATCTCGAAAATATCAACCTAGTTTCGGGTTTTATCAAAACCCTGGCAAATAATGGTCAAATGTAAATCGATTGTCATTCAAAGCTGACAAGTTTTATTTTTGCTGAATTTTCGCAAAAAATCATAATTAAACAAAACTCCAAGGGTATTGAATAGTCGCTCTTGTCGCTGTGACACTTTATTATGTTCCAACTTGTTTTCCGTTTCGTCATTTTATTTTAACAACAAATATTACATTTGCGCCATGTTTCCTGCTTGTTTTTTCGGCTTTCGTTTATTAAATGTGGCGTGCAACACACACACACACATGGAAGGCGGCACTTACACAGACACGACAGTCGCCATACGCACACAGGCGCACACCGTCCGCACACAGACACACTTCGAGCAGACAATGTGATTCGGCCATTAATATTAACGTTAAGGAGCAACAACAACAAAACGCTCATCAAACATGCGGCGTTTAGTACGCAAACACACACACACACACATACACACACAGAAGGACAAATGGCTGCCGTCGTGTGTGCGAGAGTGAGCGAGAGCGCTGTCGGCCATTTCCTTTCTTCTTTCGCCTCTTTCCGGTGCGTTGAAAGTTTCTCTTTTCGTTTTTCGTTCGCTGGTTGTTTTTCTTTTCTTTTTTTTTGTGTCTTTCAGTTGGCGTCGAGCATTTCCTTAAGGCAAACGCGGCTTTGATTTGCCTTCCGCGTGTTTTCCGCCTTTTTACGGTTCTCGGAAATTCTCAAAATTATTTCGAAAATATCCGATTAATTGTGGTGTGGTGTGATCATGGCTCTGGTGGCCCACCGGATGATGTTGCCCGCGCGGCATCGACGCAGCACCACCCAGCAGGTGGCCCGCAACAAGGTGGGCGTTCTCCTCGTTCCCAGTGTGGCGGACTATTACGCCGGCGAAATTCCACCGCCTCCGGGGGCGGCCACGCCCACTCCGGCCGGATCGCAAATGCATCTTCCGCAGGATCCGGCGGAAACAGCCGCCGATGGTAGCAATGGAAAAGTGAGTGCAACAAGTCGGTGCAACGGTCGGATTCACTTACCATTGCATGCGAAATTTCCTTTGGGGATTTCCCCCAAAAGCAGCTTCGTTTTCACGCTTTTCCTTTCCCTTCGTTTAAGTTTTTCGCCCTTTTTTTTGGCTTCGACTGGCGCCAACTTTATGTCCCTCAATTTGTGCTACAATCTAGGGGCACAGTTTTGTTGTTCTTGGTCATGGTCAGATTAAAAAACTCTGTTACTCCATCAAGTATACGACATGTGGCCGTCAATATTAAAGTGCTAGGCGTAATTGTTAAAGCCACTTAGTTGATACCTAACCAATGATTATGATTTGCTGTAGAGGTGCGAATGAAAGTTATAATTATAATTTTAAAATAAATAATACAAAATAATAAGCAAATTTTTGATAACCCACTTATTTTAAAAAGAAAAAAAACAAATTTTCAAATATTAAATATGGGTATATTCCGTGAGGGCCTCCTATGATTAAATTTATAAATGTTCTTCATAAATCAAAGCATTGAAATTAAATACCTATAAAATTTTTATTTCTGTTTCCATTATTTTCAATTTTATATAATATATTTAAATAATAAATATATATGACAATGTTTATTTGTATCCCAGTAAACCAATCAAAACCAATTGTAACTGATTGGATTTTCGGCTTTTTTTTATAAATATCAGTGTGCGTGTCGATATATTGTTTATCACGCCTCTTTACTTGAACGATGGCCACAAATGGAATTTTTAATACCTACCGGCAATGCCGATGGCCATAATTGAATAGGTGGTGGTCTGTGGCTTTGTTTTGGTTCGCGGACGCAACGGCACCTTTCATTATTCTGCTGTTACAATGCGTGACGAACTTGTCGCCGGCCATCAGTAACCAGAAGCCCATAATTAATTCAACTTAATGGTTGTTTGGGGGTGGCGGGACTGACACCGGTTCCACTAATCAATAAGTTCAGTTATAATGCACGGCCTTGACATGGTATAAATAGACAAAAACTTACTTAATTTAGCAAAGTTCGTTTGCATTTTAGCCTGTTGAGAAAATTAGGGAGTACAAAAATTAGTAAACAGGCTTTTTTGGGAGTCAAGTTGGAGCTATAATTTTATCGGGGTTGAAAAGCCTTTTTCGATTGCTAAAAATAAGTTTAAAACAATTTAAGTGTGTAAATACAATCATTAAACACTTTTCAATTGTTTTCCTACTAATTTACGTTTGCTTTTGATTTTTGAAAACAAATTTTTAGAGCAGAACCTACCCCAACAATTCAAACCAAACAGGAAACTCACCACAATTGAGACAAGAACCCAGAAAAGTTTTTCCTGATAGCTTTGAAAGTCTCGAACAGGAACCTACGACAACAGCTTTCACCAAGCCCTAATTTTCTGGCTTTCACAAACTTTGAGCTCCGTTTCCATGGTTTCCTACCCCAATAATTGAACCTATAGCTATTTGATGAAAAACATTCACATCTACTGACCAACTTGTTGATGCCTTGAAAAATGCTCTATTTGTTTATGTTTGTGGCTGTTGGCTCTTTTCCTTTTGTTTATTTTGCCTGAAAAGTCTACGACGGCTTCACAGAGGTAAACAATTTTTATTCCATAAAGTAATAAAGTTCGCTGTTCAGTATGTGATTAGTAACCAAGCTGGCTGTCCATTTATGTAAAGATCTCGAGCCAGCCGCCTATGTGGAAATTCGCAATGAAAGTCAGTCCCATTTTTCGACCATGGATAACCTGGAAAAGCCAAATGGAGGAAGGGAGAATGAGATTATCAGACAGGCTGCCAAGGAGCACGAGATTGTAAAGCAGCAGCGATTTTTAGAGATAACAAGAAGGGAACCAATGAAATTTGGTGGCTCAAGCTGTTTCAAAATGCAATAGCAAAACTGATAGTGACAAAGCAAACTTTGATAAATTTGTTACAAATATATGGTATAAAATATTTAATTGTTGGGAGAAACGATTTTTCATTTTTGGTTTATTGAAATGTGTGCCGTCTATTCGAGCGATGATGTGGCTGCCTATGAGGAAGTGGATGATTCTCAGTCAGGTCCGTTTTCTAAAATTATCTCGGAGCAAGGTGATAAAAGCGAGATGCAATCGATCATCCTATTGGCCCACCAGGAGCACGAGGCCCAGACCCATCAACAAGTAATGACCGCAATGAAGCAACGCGAGGAGAAGGAGTTTTCCAAGCTTCGAGACATCAACCCATTACCCCAAAGTTTTGTTCAGAACAGAGATGCATTTGATGAGGATGTCAGATTTCTGCTGTCCCAAATCGCTTCAGAGGAGGATAGAAGCGGTGAAGATGAAGATTATTCTTTTTAGGAGCTATATTTCTATTAAAGACTGATGTGGCTCAAATGCTTAAAGTTTATTTACTGTTGTTGAAAAAAGTGAGTGAAGATAAGTGAAAAGTTCTACGTATAAAGTGTTCTGATTTTAATATAGATATGAAAGACACTTAAAATTTTTAATCAAAACAAGCAAAAATCCGATAAGTTCGTAAGCTACATTTGATGATTATATTAAAATTGGTCCATAAGCTGTCTCATCCAAACTTTTTAATTTCGTCCTTAATAAGATTTAATAATTAATATTTAAATGATCGAAAAGCTTGGAGTTAACCTGTTCACATAAACTTAATTCAACGCGATTTAGTCATTTCAATCAAAATTAAATCTTGAGTAAGATGGGATTTTATAGCTTATTATTATTAAAACATAGGATTAGGTCTGACCAATCCCTGATGTTAAGAAAGCCCCGAAATACGAAATTCAGAAACACATAAAAGCTTACACGGATTTATGTATAAATGATGTGGGTGGTGTAAATAATAAACCCACTGGTGGCAATTACGATGATGATGATAAGGCGAAATAGGCAAGGTCTCGTGTGCATCTTGTAAGCCGCATGGCCAATTGTCATAATTTATGCAACAAGGAGCCGAAAAAGCAGGCAGTCAACGTTTTGTCCCCCACTGAAACTTTAATTAAGTTGAACTTATCTATGCCTTACACATGAGACTTGAGCGTGTGCGGTCCGCCTCGCCCCCTCTCTGACGCTCCACGCTCTCGCCCTCTCGCTCTCCTCACGCGTTAGCCAAAAAGCGCTCTCAAATATGCAAATGAATGTGGCACTGGCACGTCAAATGTGGCTTTACACCCCCACACTCGCCCACACAAATACTGTGGCACCTTGGGGAACATGCATTTCGGTCATGTTTACAATGTCAGCTAGGATAACACACTGCGGATTGCAGTCGAGTGTGTGAGTGTGAGCGGGCGAGCTTTTACACTGGACAAAATAGGATAAAGTTGGATAATTTTCATGTAAATAAAAAATGTTACAAAAGAAAATATTAAGAAGAGTGTAAGAATATTTGATATTTTGGTTGTCTACTTTTTTATTTCTGTTGAAAATTCATCATTTTACTATCATTTTATATTTTGTAGGCAATAGACATTCACTTATGGAAACTTTTTTTTTTTTTTAAGTAAAAAAAGTATGTTTTTTTTATTGGAAAAATCGGTAGAATGGCTTAACTTACAAGCATATAAGCGTATTTGTTCATTATATAATGTTCGCTTATTATAATTTTTATATTTACAAAAAATAATGAATGGCTTTATGAGTTATTGTTGAGAAAGTTGGGTAAACCAGCCTTAAAGGCCGAATTACAAGTTGATAGTACAAAGTTTAATTTTTTTCTGAGTGCCTAAGCAATGTCAGCGAATTAGGCCAAGAGAGGGGTCGCTGAGAGAGCGCTGGCTGAAATCAGCTGTTTGCAACGCCCACGCACAGCTGAGCGGTACAGCGGGAGAGCGAGCTTTTTGGGCAGAGCGCAGCGCTCAGCTGGGAGCGGTAAGTCGTCCTTTCGGCTGGCAGGATTTGGGACTCGGCCCTCGGTTCTGGGCCGTCGGCTCAGGGCTCTTGGCACTCGGCTCCGCATCCTTACCTGGCAGAGCTTCGTCCTGGCTTTGTTTACATGCGTTCAACCGCTCCTGCTCGAGTTGCCTTTTCCCGCTCCTGCTCCTGCTCCTCCTTCTTCTCCTGCTGCAGTGCAGGACGAGCGAGCGACCCACTTCGGGCGGCGGCCAGCGCTTTCAATTTCGTTCAACCTGAATCCTGAACCAGTGAGTCCTGGAAACGAGTCCGATTCGAAGACGAGCCATCGGCTGCGGCGCTCGCTTTCAATTTCGCCTCGTTATTCGTTGGTGGCCGTTGGGCGGCCTCAGTCGTGTTTTTGTTGTGCCCGTGCCCGTTCGCGCGTGTCCTGCTGGCTGCTCTCCGTCGTCCTCGCCGCTCGACAGCCCAGCACACTAGAGCAGAGCTCGGGAGCTGCAGTTCGCCACGCGTCCGCGCCTATAAAATATGAATTTCTACCATTTTTCTACTCGTCGGCAGCATTAAAAAACGAAACGAATACAAAAAAAAAACGCGATACGCAAAGTAAAAAAAAAAGAAAAGGGGAAAAGTAAGGACTAACGCCCACGCGAGATGTTTGTGTGCAAAGAATGCGGTTAATAATTGATTCAGTTGCTATCCCCAACTGGCTGCAACGAAGGAAGCCCTTTGCTGAATAAATAATGCAAAAATTGCAGTGCAAATGTAATATGGAATTACAATCACAGCCGTATCAAGGTGACCACAACAATCCGATCGGCAGCCCTGTAATTGTCACTCCGACGTCGCCGTGCCGTTTTGGTTCTCGTTGTCCGCCAGTCGTGTCCTGCAGGTAAGGAAATCAGGAGCTGGGGATCCGCATCAACTAAGCACGGCGGCGTCGCCTGAGCGACAACTGCAAATATGCAAAACTAACGCAAAACTAACAACACTCAATATCGGAATCAATCAATAATAAAAACAAGGAAATCGACTGAAAGCGGAACCTTTTAAATTCCACCGTCAATTACTTTGATTGGCATGTGTGCATTGTAAAGCAAAATACAAGGGCCGACAAATTGAATATTAAAATGAATAATATAAACACGGTGACCCACTTATAAAAATTCAATTCCAAATATAACGATATTATAAAATATTAATTTAAAAAAACGTATAAAATGTAAACACAATTGCATTAAACATGAATAAATGAAAGCAATAATATAAACATGATCTCAAATATAAAAGTTTTTAGAAAAACTATAACCCCAAAATAAACAGGAATCAATTAGGTTTTTAAACCACAACTATTTTTTTTTGCCAATACTGAATTGATTTTGAAAATGAATAATAAATTATAATATATAGAATTGAATTAATTAAATATGAAAATCATAATGAATTACATTATAGTAATATTTCTTTTAGCATTTTACGTATATTGAATTATTCGTTTTTTTATATGACAAAAAACTATTTTCTTAATGCTAAAATAAAAATATAAATTATATAAAAAAACAAAATAAACGTCACTTAAAAATCAGTAATATTTTTTTTGAATGCCTAATATAACGTATTAATAAAATCACAATAATTAAAAATTCAAATTGAAAAAACAGTAAAATAATAAGTTATACTGACAAACCGAAGGCAACCAAGACTAATCTGCGAATGGCAATCTGAAAAGGCCCTTATATAATCACAATAATTCATAATGCATAAATAATGATAAATTGAATTACGGATAAGTAATAATAAAAGGAAACCTGAGCCCTGCGAAAAGAAGTCAGGCAAACAAACGGGCGAAAAAGAAGAATGTCCATAAGTATATACAGCTGCTAACAATAAGTAACCAAACACAATTCCGTGGGGCAGGATGAAAAATGATAACGACAGCCGCCGCAAACCAAACGTGAAAAGTGATTATATATATACGTTCAGACATATCAGCATAAACAACCATAATTGTCGGTTGATTCATCGACGCAATCGAGCGGTTTATCGGGGCTGAAATATTTGATTGTCGTGTCAAAGTTCTAATGCCGATAAATTAGGAATCCTTCAGAACTTGCTGGTGCTGTTTACCTGTAATGTGCTGCTAATTTGTTGCCACAGGAGCGTTACTCATTTCCGAGCAATTACATTAACGCCGCCATCGTTTTAATTAGGCCAGGCCACTTTCGCACATGCAGACAGTGGGCCACGAAAGTATCTCGCCTCGCATCTTGAAAAATATGAAAAAAATTAAAATGAAAAGTTCTTTTGCTGCAAAAGTTCCCCTTTTTCGCTTTTGGCATTGGCGTCGTCATCGTCGTCGTCGTCGTTGTCTGCCAGTCGAGACAACTTTGTTCAGGTGTTGTTGGTTGTTTGCGGCACACGTTTTTCGTGTTTTCACTAGAGTGTTGAGGGCTGCTCGGGGCGGTCCTACCTTTGACCTTTCGTAGTTTGTTTTTGGCAAGCAACGCAGCCATAAAGGATATGATATAATTTTGAAAATATATCATATTATATTAAGACATTTACGTGCATTCAAATTTGTATAAAATGCCAATGTGTTACGGTCCAAAAAAAATTTTAAAATGTATACTTTTATCTTAAAATAAATCTCTTGTAGGTAAAGAGTAAATTTCAACATTGAATTAGGATTCTCGATCAGTCGTGAAAGTTGTATATTTTTTGTGCTCAAAATTGGTAATTAAACATTTTTTAATAATTCAAGAAAGCCCAACATTTTCTAAAAATGATTCTTGATTCTTTATACAACTCTTAGTTGTGCCTAGAAATTATTTAATTTATATGTAAGCAAAATTTAAATTTTCTATCAAAAAGCTCCCAATGTGAAATTCAAAGTAAGATATTATATTTTGTAAAAAATTATTTGTAAATACAATAATATCTAGTTTTCTGTGCCGTCGTGGTGATTTGATAATTTAGAAATGCAAAACTGCTTCTTGCACCATAAGTCATAATTCCAATTCGTTTTTATTTAGTCCTCGAACTAAGGTCCTTCTTTACTCTTCCAGTTGACCTTCAGGGAGCGTTTGCCCCGCTTTCGCCCACATAAGCCCGGTTACCTTTCGTGCCTGGCAACAATTTTTCAAAATTTAGTTTTAGCTTAGCTAAGGAAGCGAAAGTAGTGCAAAGTGGCCAACCAGCAAACGCATACGAATTAAATATTTGCAAAAACCAGGCCCAAATGGGTGGTGGCAGTAGCTGGAGCTGCGGCTGCTTACCACTCATCGCTCGCACAGGCTGCCATCGGCGAACGTGGCCATAATTCAAACGACGCGCAAACTACTTAATGTTATTAGATATGTCTTGTTGGTAAGGCCTTCCTCCGCCCCCCAGCCACGCCCCTTCCAGTGCAAGGGGGCTGGAAAAAGTTTTGCACGGATTTTCTAACAGTGTCCTATGTTTGTGTCGGCCAAGTTTATGCTGATGTTGTTGATTACATCTGCCGCTCCTGTGGTCGGCCGCCTTTTGGCCTCGTCCTGCCACTGCTGCTCGCTGCTCCTTTTTTTTTTTTTTAATTTTTTGTGTCCTCAACTTTCCGTCGTTGACATTTCGTTTTCAGCATTTTTCATGTGAGCTAGTATGTGCGTATTTCGCTTTGCCTTTTTTCCTTAGCCATTCCTGGCCCGTCTTGCTGCAGGTGCTGCATTTAAAATGAAATATGGCAGTCTTTTTGGCGGTTGAGATAAATGCGGCTCAGTTTGTTTGCTCCAGCGTTTTCTGCTGGCTAACTTATTAGATTTGTTACCCTGTCGCATTTCGTTCTGTGCAAGTGGTCCTCCTCTCGCTTACTTTCTGTTTTCCTGACAGTTCACGTTTGTTTTTGTGGACTTACAACGCGGCTGTCTCGAGTATATATATATGAACTTTCTTCGGCAAGACGAATATCTTTGGAGCGCTAAATAAAGAAAACAATTCCAATTTGACCTAAGTAACAGAAAACTAGAGTTTATCATTACCACAAATCAAAGCAAACAAACAAATTTTTAACACTACGCATTTATAAAAACAAGATAACAATTCCAATTTACATTAAATAAAAGAAAAAATAGGTTTATCCATACAAACCCAAAGAAAAGTTCAAAAAATAGAACAAGGAATCAAATGAGTTTGAAGTGCTATCTACCTTATTAAATAAATTTCTTTCCAACATACTTTTTCAGAAAATGAACACCTTAAAATTTCAATGAGGCTCATTACCTTATTCTCAGAAATCTCTGGCAGGTTTGAGTTATCCTTGGCGCCCGTACTCAAGATTTCAATTAGCTGAAGCAGCCAATCAGGCAATGTGCGCCACTTAAAAGTTTTAGCCAACTTGGAGGGTCAGTGGAGTGGCGTTACCAATTTGCCGATGGAAGGGGGTATCAGGCACCCATAGGGAATCATGAACCGGAACGCAGTTCCAGACAACTTGGCAACGGAATGCAATTTCTGTTATTCGTGGATTTCCATACGAGCCGTGAATAAATTGAGTGAATTCGTTGCTCCTGATGCTGCAGTGAAAAATATACGTATTCAGTATTTGTCAGTTTCTGTTGAGATTTTAAGTCGACAAGATTAAAGAGAGAGCCCTAACAAAAAAGATTATTTGTATTTGGCAAATTTACGCTTATTGACGGGGGAAGGACAAAAACGAGCCACCAGCTTTGGCCCGGTTTAAAGGTTCTTTATGGCCCCAGCTTGTGTGGCGATAGGCCTGTCATTTATTAACTCGAATTTGCATTTAAGCTGTGGAAGGGCGAGGGAAAAGGCGGCCTAAGAAAACATTAGCTAGGACAACAAGTTGAGCACAGCATATCGTACATGCAGCCCGATCTTAAAGATATTTGAGTACACAGATTTATCAAGATCTAGAGTAAATTCAGGCTAACCCCTTAACTCAGGCCCAAGAAAAAGTGAGTAGCTAATTTGGAGCAGGCAGAACTGTTTTGAAGAACCCCTAAATTATGGGGGCCCTATGATTTGCCAGCTTGCTTCGCCAGCACACTTTTCCATTTGCTTTAACTTTTAAGTGTTGCTTTGTTTTACATCCCCTCCCCCCGCCCGCTTTCCACCGCTGCCTCCCCCTTTTTTGAGCCAGTTTCGCTGGGCCGTAAGCTGTAGCCTCCTTGTAAGGACCTCAGACTCAGACTCGCTCGACGAGCTGTTGACATTGTGTGCGGTTATTGCTGTTGTTGTTGTGCGCCAGGAAGCAAACACTCTACGCCTACTTAGGCAGCTTTTTCGCCTTTTTCGTCTTATTCGCCTTGCTGTTGCTTTGTTTTCACTTCTGGAGGCGGCTGCTGCTGCAGTTGCTCGGGCCTCCAGCTCGAGTGGCTGTCCTCGAAAAATGCCTGCCAGGGTCATTTGTTCATTTGCATTCGCTAGACTTGCATCTTTTATGCATTTAGCATACCCAGCTCTTTGTCCCCGCCATCTAAATTCCGCTTTAAAATAATTAAAAAATGTGACGCAAATGCAAATGCAAAATGGAAATGGTAGTGGAAGTGGAAATAGAAATGGAAATGAAAGAGGGCCAGTGCTGGGCATGTCAAACGAATTGGCATGTGTCGTGGCAAAAGTCTAAAACTAATTGGGTTATGTCCTCCCCAGACGCTCGTTGTCAGCCGTGCTCAGTCCGGCTCAGCTCAGTTTAGCCCATCTGAGCCCAGCCCGTTGTCCTCAAACAATTGCCCATCGCCCATGACGTTGATGGCTCTTAAACTGCTCTTCATTTGCAGCAGCACCACACACACACACTCGGC